TCGTCTTTAATTATTTTTACCATTTTATTTATAATTGTGACATACAGTTAATATTCCTCTATGTTTATGTTGTGCTGTGTTCTCCTCCATGTTGCTGTAAAGAGTCTTCCTAATGTCAGTTTTGTGTAGTGCCAAAATGGTTTGCAGAAGTTGCAAAAAGCAAATTTTTAAAGCCCTAAAGTGGAATAAAATACATGGACTTTCTGTAAATGAATTTGTAAGAGAATTAAGTTGTCAGATTAAAGCAAGTTCCTGTTGAATGTTTGCAACTGATACTTCTCAGACTTGTAAATTAGCCAGCTATGGGAACGTGCTCTCTTGTGAGGACTAAATGAACCATCCGTGACACCAGAATAAATGTCAGTGCCAGATCTAAATAAATGATGTACTGGGATAAGTCACTGTGGCTTTTGTAGAGAAGAAGGTATGTTTAAAGAAACTGAATTCTCAACAGAGTTGGTGAACATATGAAGAAGGCACTGTAATACTTTGAAAGCTAAGAAATTTTAAGCAAGATCTTGATCTAAGAACATTTAAATGTATTAAAATTTAAGGTAGTAAAAGGCAAGATTGCCTCAGGAAAACCAGGAAGCAAAAGATAGGAGTAAGTATCTCGTGAGAAACTTGCAAGTATGGTTTCCAAAGATAATACTTGTGCTTTTTGACATACCTGTAAATGGTCTGGCAGAGAGAGAAGGTGCAACATGGAGATATAACCAGGACAGCTGTTTCACAGAGGGTTGTGGAAGTAGCTATGAGTAAATTGCAGATCAAAGTCATTGTGGATATAGGGATCATAACATACTGGGAAAATACTCTCATCTATAATTCTGCTAAGGTAGTAATGAGCTGTAAATCTGCATTGAGGAAAGAAATTCACCGATCATTGCTGATTTCTCTGAAAATATGTGTTCAGTGCTCAACAGGAGTCAGAAAATGAAAGAGCGTGTTTAGGAGGTACTAGCAAAGCAACGGAAAGAAGGAAGGTATTATATTATACAAATCTGTGATGTATCTAAATTCTAAACACTGTGAGATTCTATAGTCATCACATTTCAAAAAGGTTGTACCAAAGTAGAAAAGATTGAAGAGGATGAGGAAAGCCCTAGTCTGACATCCAATTTTGCTGTGAATATCGTCACTGTCCCAATTTCCCATGCAGTGAGGAATCCCAGTTTTGTTTGAATAGTTTCTCATCTCTTTTTTGAATTCTCAAGTCTTCCTCAGTCTAAGACATTTGATTCATTTCTTTCTTTTTCCCCAAGGCCTTAGTTTTTCATTTCAGTTTGAGGCTCTGAGTTTCACATATCTTACTTTGTTTCTTGGTATTTTCTACTGCTTAAGGCTGTAGGTGGCAGTGATTTGATATTGCCACCTTGTTGATTAAAAATCAAGCTATTAAAGCTGATTGTATGGGAGGGAATGTCTTCTCAGTCCCCTTCCTCATTAAGTTTACTCACTAAATGAGATAATCTGCTGAACATATTTTATCTGTTTATGTCTGTCTGATCAAGGCAGAAACCAAAGTCTGCACTACTTTTTCTATTGGAAGATGTTCCTAGAAGTCACTAAAGTAATTTTGTAACCATCTTGCCTGTAGGCTTTTGTCCTTCTGAAATCTGAAGGTCTTAGGGAGAGTTTCTGCATCTGAGCTAACCAGTTCTCTTCTAGATATGGCAGATTTACCCGTCTGTCACTTCTTAAAGCTGTTAGTAGCTGGACTGTATTCGCTGATTAAAGTTTGTTCCATGTGTTAAGGTTTGTACAGTTTAAAGTGGAACTTCAGACATGTATATGCCCCTCGAGTTCAAGAATGCAATTCAGAAAATGACTGAATTTGTAAACACTTGAAAAACTATGGATGGTCTGAAGTTCCTGCAACATCTACAGTTCTGCTAGTGTGAATGCCCAGAGTTGCTAATGCGAGGCCTAAGTTGAGTGTCGTGGTGCTTACCTTGCATCTACAGCCTATTCAGGATCCTTGAGAGTCAGTAGCTGAAGCCCTTAAAGAGCCTGCGCAAATAAATGTGGTTTGAGCATGTTTGCAGCAGGAGGAAAAGATTAGGTTCAGCACAAAACATAGCAGCAAAGGCTACTTTAATTTGAAGGTAGGTGTGTTTAAATTAGTTATACCAAGGGGCAGGGGCAGGCGGTGTCACAAAGTGTAGGAACTTTCTGGTTCTGGTGAGCATGATGAGATGTCCAGGCAGGCACGGGCACTATTAATAAAGTTCCAGTTGGCCTTTGAAAAGAAAATGGCAGGGAACACCCTGCAGGCTACCAGAAAAATTTAATGACCTATCTGTTATGGAGGGCCCCTCGCAAAAAAAAGTCGCTATGAAGTTGATAATCATGAGAATTTCCTCATGGTCATGTCTGGATACCATTGGGGTAGAACATTCACTCAGGAATTAGGTAGATCCATGGTAAGTATTGTCCTCTCTCTCATGGAGTTAGGGTCTAGATTCAGTATCTTTCTAAATATAATTCTAGCCGTTACCTGGTGAAACTGTGAGAAATGTAAGGCTGGTGTATCTAGGGAGGTAGTCCTAAGAGAGATCATGACTCACTGCCTCAGTGCTTAAAGATACTCACTGGGGAGAGGAGAGTGCTTGTCCCCAGAACTGCATTTACAATTTGTTTAATGATACAGAATTCAGGTGTTCACGTGACCTTCTATTCAAGCACTTCCTACTGCCTGGTTTGGGTGTTACTCTGCTTGTTGTGCTTGATGTCATGAGGGACAGTCCTACCTGTCATTCTTTGCTCAAGCTTTGCTCAAACTGGGGTATTAAGGAGGGCTTATCAATTCTTTGTGAGGATATCAGCAAATAGTTGCTGGTCTCTGAATTTCTGTGACATGATTATTCTTACATATTGTATTAATTCAAAATACTAGAACATGAGTGCTTGGCTCAGGGTAGAAGAAACTCTCATGAGCCATCTGTTCAGATTAGGATCTCCGCTCTTACTTAATCTCCTTGAAAACATGCTTTTTGGGAAGCTGAAGAAAACTATGGAAATCAAGAATCTTAAATCTTTGATTTTGAAAAAAGAGATATCTTCCAGGATGAGAAAATGGTTGAGCTCTCCCCAGAGTTGCAAGTACCCATTATTTAAAACTTAGCAACATGTAAATCATCCATTACTTGAGCTTAATTTAACCTCTGCAATAAAGTATTTGTGCGTGTGTATATGTATGCCTACCTGTGATGGATGTCAGATTGGATGGCAAAACGATGTGCCAAGGCAGAACACACCAAATTTAGAAGAATAACATAATAACTTCCTTTTATTCAGGATTCTTTTTTGTGAGTGGGACTAAAGGATCTAAGCCAGCCATAGCTCATTTATTACTTTTTTTTTTTTTTAATGCTTTTGTAACTCTTACACCATTCTAAAGAATAATTTGTGGAAGACATCTGCTGTGATTTATCAATAATGGAAAGTGTTGGTATTTCTTCAGTTCTATGTTGTCGTTCCAGTTTCAGCACTGGTATGTGATGTTGCTTGCTTTTTTCCCCAGTCTTTTTACTGAAGTTAGCCCTTTTTGGAAACAACCACAGAGGTGGTTATCGCTAGTAATGGTAACCAGAGAAATACTTCACTTCATGTTACTAGACAACTCATTCTGTTTCTCTTTTTTCCTTTTTTTCTTCAGATTAAACTGATAAAACCTAGTTTAGTTATAAGTGGAACAGCAATTGATTACTGTAGATTTGAAGTTCTATAGTGTGGTTTCATTTTACTGATAAGTTCAGATCTTTTCATGTGAATCAAATTAGGAAATCACTTAAGGCAGGTTAAAACATTTTTCTGTTTCACATACAGTTGAATATTTCTACTTCATTGTTTACTACCTCAATTCAAGAAACTGTATTTACAGCGTACTGAAAATACCACCAAGATATAAATGATATGAAATTATTTTATTAAAGAAATTGATTTCATAAAAAATCAGAAAATAGTATTCTGTAGCACTAGTAGTAAAATTTATTTTTCCCCATATAAAGGCTCATTTATTTTTATAGCAATTTGATGACACATCTGCTTGCTTTATTCAGCTGAAAAGAAAATGTTGGTTCTTGGTGTTTTATAAAATTGCTTTGTTAAATTATTTTCAAAATCGTTCAACTTTTAACAAATGACATTTGATACTAACATTGGAAAGCAATTTCAGCTAATTAAGTAGATCCTTCTATAAACCATTGGAACATTAAGATGACAAACTGTTCATTCAGGATTATTTTAATTGGTACAATTATTGTAATTTTGTTGCAATTATGTGTTGAGCTTAAAGCTTTTGTTTAAATCATTTGAGGGTTTTTTGTTAATATACATAAGTAAGAAGAAAAGAAGTAAAATAAAAACTGAAGATAAGCATTATCTGTCTACTTTTTCATTACAGTGCTTTAGACAAGTATCTATTAAATTATTATTTTTAAAAAGTATGTTACATGTTTGCAGCAAATCTCTAGCAATGTTAAAATTGAGCAAGATCATTTGAAATATAACTTTTCTGGAAGGTTATTATGTTAATTCCAGTTTTGACACTGTTTAAATACCTTTTAATAAAAAGGGTGAAATTAACTTCTGAGGGATTTGCAAGTTGTATAAAACCTATTGATGTATTAATTTAAGAAGTGTAGCTCTTTAGTGATTATAGAAATTAAAAATGAAAAAGCTATAGAAGGTGCCACATTCATCACTCTGATTCCAGTGTTCTCTGCAATCATCTTTTGCCCAGGCCAGGTTTAAATAAATCACTTCCTTTAAGCAGACAATTTAATATTCTTGTAGACCTCACAGTGAGGCATTACTTCTAAATATTTAACCTGCTTTTTGTTTTTCGGTTTCCTTTTATTGCCTCCTACTTAAAACAAAGGGCGTATGAAGTTGTTATATTTCTTATTGTGCTAAGAGTGTGGTCTTAATGTTAAAAGGCAACATGACAGTTTCGTAGATGGTTGTTGCCCAAACTGTCTACTAAATAGACCTACATGAGGCAAGGCATAAAAGGGAAGAGAGTGCCAGAGGACGTGACAAGTAAGAAGGAAGTTCAGATGAAAAGGTAATAGGGAGAGAAAAAGGATTGCAGCAAAAGTTAATCAGGACAAGACAGAGGAATATTTTTAGCTTTTTTAGTTACCTTTGTAATGTAGAATAATAAGTCATATTTCTAACATACATTCCAGATAAGTTTAAATGCCTACAGTATAGTTAATGTGTGTTAATGACATCTCTCAAAAATCATAGAATCGTCATAGAATCATAGAATGGTTTCGTTGGAAGGGACCTTAAAGATGATGTAGTTCCAACCCCCTTGCCATGGGCAGGGACACCTTCCACCAGACCAGGTTGCTCAAAGCTTCATCCAGCCTGGCCTTGAGCACTTCCAGGGATGGGGCAGCCACAGTGCCACTGCCTCCCCACCCTCATGGTGAAGAATTTCTTCCTATTATCTAACCTAAATCATGCCGCTTCCAGTTTAAAGCCATTGCCCCTTGTCCCAGCACGACACGCCCTTGTAAAAAGTCCCTCTCCAGCTTTCTTGTAGGCCCCTTCAGGTATTGGAAGGCTCCTCTAAGGTCTCCCCGGAGCCTCCTCTTCTCCAAGCTGAACAACCCCAACTCTCTCAGCCTGCCTTCGTAGGAGAGGTGCTCCAGCCCTCGGATCATCTTCGTGCCATCCTCTGGACTCGCTCCAACAGGTCCATGTCCTCCTTTGTTGGGGGCCCCAGAGCTGAAGGCAGTACTACACAGGGGGTCTCACCAGAGCAGAATCAAGGGTGAGAATCACCTCCCTCAACCTGCTGGTCACGCTGCTTTGGATGCAGCCCAGGACACAGTTGGCTTTCTGGGCTGCAAACACACGTTGCTGGGTCACGCCGAGCTTCTCATCAGCCAGCACCCCCAAGTCCTTCTCCTCAGGGCTGCTCTCAATCCATTCTCTGCCCAGCCTATATTTGTGCTTGGGATTGCCTCGACCCAGGTGCAGGACCTTGCGCTTGGCCTTGTGGAACTTCATGAGGTTCACATGTGCCCACCTCTCAAGCCTGTCCAGGTCCCTCTGGACGGCATCCCTTCCCTCCAGCGTGTCGACCGCACCACACGGCTTGGTGTCGTCGGCAAACTTGCTGAGGGTGCCCTCAATCCCACTGTCCATGTCGCTGACAAAGATGTTAAATGCTCCTGTGTATATTTCAAATCCTCCACGCTGCAGTGATTGATACTAGTTTAGGGTAGAACAGAGAAGCCTTAATTTTAGCAACACTATAAACAATTTCAGGAAAGAAAACTTTTATTTTTAACCTCTGTAAGTCAATCCATGAGACTTCTGTACTTTTTTGGGAATTGATAAAGTTGGGAAATAAAAGTGGAGGTGGTGGCTTTTTGTGTTTGCTGAATGCTTTTGTCAAAACGCTTGTTCAAAACCTGAGAACATGGGAAAATGTCGTGAGGTAAGGTGATAAGCCGGAAATGCGTATCTTAGCTACATACTGCTAGTGGCCCGTATCCTGGCTCTTACCCCACAATAAATGTGATGTAATCTCTCTCAGGAAAAAAAGGAGATAAAATACTTGCTTCATGTTCAGAGAAGACTTGTGTCTCATTGCTGTAAAAGCCTACCACTGAGCAGTAGGATGGAATATCAAGTTCTTCAGAAACTGATGCTCTAGTGTGCCTTGCAAAAACTTGCTCATATGCCCGTACAATAAATTAGGTCAACTCTGTCATAAGAAGCTGCTTCAGAAGGGCCAGATAAGGAACAGATCAGGTAATTCAAGTGCTGTATAAAGGAAGTAATATACCTTTGGTCCTGGTTGACTTGAATTTTAGTTATTAACTTATTAAAGTTAATGTAGTATAGCAATTGTACCTTTTTCCCTTCCATTTCTGGATAGCATTTGCAGCAGATTGCTAGATTAGTCTTTGACTTACTCTGGGAAGTGGAACTCATGCTTCTCTGAGTGCAGTGTTTGCCGTGGACTTTTGGAGGAGTGTCCTTTTGTCTGGACCTGAGGTTTAACTTTATGCCATAATGTAGCCCCAGAAAAGAATCTTGTGCTGGAGACTAGGATGAACCATGGCCATTTCTAATACTAGAGGACCTGCAAGCATTTGCTGAATTTCTGAAGTCCTACAAGTAGAGGTATTGAATAAAAGAATCCCTGCATAAAGCCATAAAGTAGCTTTGTACTGACATTTGATGATGCAAATACCAAAACGAGATTAGTACAGTATTCTTGTATTTCGCTTGTATGAGTGATCTTGTTGGACTTGTCAGTTAGTGAGACATAATTACTTTTTTGTTTACAGGGCAGCTTTGAGCACTCTTAGATTCGTCTGTGCTAGTCTGTTTCACTGCTTTTCCATCTGTGTAATACACACAATGATTTTTTTAAATTCTTTTGCCTTCTGTCATTCAAATAGCACTACAAAGCTGTGAATGAATCCAGGCATTTGTAACTGTATTAACAGGGTTTTTTAATTATTAAGAATCCCAGTGTAGGGTGTATTCTGGAAAGTTGTATTAAAAATAGACCTCTTTAATATGGCTCAGTGACAATGTGTGATACTGGTTGTGGGAGATTAATTTAATAAAAGTCAGTCTTCTAAGGACCAAAATGTTTTTTCTTTCTGAAGTGATCAAAAGTGGGAGCACTCCAAAGAGGTGCTTTATCTACTGTTAACTTGAATTGGATAGAGTCAGTTTTGCAAAGCAAGCTTTCCTGAATACCTACGCTAATATGAGTTCTTTAAATAGCAGTTGCATCTGTTCAGTGAAGTCTCTACTACTTAATATGCACTGAGAGGTTTACAGTTTTTGTCTAGATAGATATATCAAACTATAGCTTTCTTTTTTTTGGTCTTTATTAAGATAAAACATTGATTCCCTTATGTTTTACTATTGAATGTGTGATGACTTTTTATTCCTGCCTCTATACAAAAGCATATATGAGCAAATGTTCTTTTTCAACGTCCAAATGACCTGTTGTAAATTTCAGTTTGAAACAATATTTGCAGTACTATTCTTGATACGTTGATAGCACTGCAAATTTTCAGGAGTGTTTTGTGTGAGAGCTTTTAATCCAAAAAAAATGTGCCCTTAGGCTTGAAGATACACTGTCACTATACTGACCAGACATCAGAAGAACAGGATAAATAACTTCAGAGCAAAGCATTATATTATTAATATCTGATTATTAGGTATTAGGAATCAGATCTCTAATTAGCAGACCGTTAAGCATCAAAATTTCATATGGCATTCCAAAGTGGCCCAGGTTTTCTAGTTTTCTGTTTCTCAGAAATGTTTTTAGAAGAAATGTTTTTTTTGTAATTTTTAATGAGATGTTATTTCATTATTTTAAGCAACATTTTTGTCTTAAGCTGTATTGAGAGAAAAATTTAAAAGGCATGTGATAGATAAAATATGACATGCCTTCATGCTCATCTGTTCCGTTACTGTATTTATTATTTAGTAACAATTAATTAGGTCTGTTGCTTTTTATGGACTGTAAAAATTAAATTACTCTTGTCATTTACTTGCTCCTGTAAAACATATGAAGAAAAAAAATATTTAGGTATGCAAAGAGTAACTTGTAGGATTTCTTTGTTTTCACCTTCAAGGAGAGAGGATTGGAAAGAGCAGGGAGAATGGCCCTTTGGGGTGTTAGGACTTCTCTAGTAGTCAGTCTTCCACCTGTCTGGGAGCAGCAGGGCTCCATCAGAGAAGGCAAGCTGGGAGCTGGGGATGACAGCAAGACAGGTGGGGTGATGTCCTCGTGAGCAAGGGGTGCAGTCGCACAGCAGCCAAACAGGAAAATCAGAGAAGGTTCAGTGACAGTAACTGAGGACAGCAAACAGCCCAGTGGTCCGTAGCCATGAGGCACGTTTTAGGTCAAGCCAGGAAGTCAAGTCAGTGAGTCAAGGTCAAGACCAGTAAGGTATATAGATGTAAGTCAAGCAAGGACCGAGGGCTAAGACCTGAGCTTGAAGGCAGTTTGTGAGTCAGGCAAGAGAGGCCCCCAGTGAGGCTTCTTCCAGCTCTTACCACAGCAGTCCAGTCCCAGGTTACTCAGCTGCTCTGTACCAGAGCTGGCCTTGAGCGCAGGCAGTGAAACCCCTGGCCAGGGGTGGGGGGAAAAGGTGGCAGTTCGTGTTGGCGTATTCCAGGGCCTGACATAACTGGCCGAACAGGGAATGTGGGCACAGCGCAGCCTTCGGTGTGGATGAAGGTAGTTGATGCTGCCACCATTTTACCACCAGCTGGTTGGGTGATGAAGGACCACACCATGTGGTGGCAACCATCTCCTGCAGTAGGTGATAAATGGGTGGGCTATGTCATGTGTAGCCCAACAGCCTGGCATCTTCCTCTAAGCTGTGCTGGCAACATTCAGTGCTGGACCCACTGTTGGACCATGGTGGTTATTTTCCAAGTCAGTCATGGAAGTGCACAGTGAACATAAACTAGAAAAAAATTGGAACAAATTTATAGTCTCTTGAAGGAAGATAAGATGATCTACCTCTCTATGTACTTGTAGTAAATTATTTTTGAGGAAAAAACCAGAAATAATTCATTGTTGCTGGAATATAACTTAATCCACACTGAAAGCGGTTCTTAATTTTAGCTGCTCATGGAAAGGACACGTGCAGAATAGTGGAATGAATTTTTAAGGTTCTCTTTTGTCAATGTAATGTTCTGTTTTGGGCACATTCCTTTTAAATTCAAGTAGTTTCATGTGGAAACAGACACTCTGTAACACTGACAGTTTTTGATGTTTCTGATTTAAAGAATAATTCTTCTGCCTGAGGGAAATCTAGCCCCAAAATGAGAATAGAGTGTTCACAGTGCTTTATTTTTAGATCTACGTGCTTGAATTTTAGAAAAAGTAACTCCTAAAGTGCTTTACGTGCTAACCTTTTAATTTTTTTATCTGAGAAGTACAGGCACATACGATTTTTGTGGCTCTTTGCCAAAAGATTATCATTTACATAAATATTTCTTTCAAAGGCGTAGTTTAAGACATTGAGCTCAGGAGGTTAGAATAGAGACTTCAATCTGCACACCAGCAGTGGGCTATTGGCTTCCGAACAGTAGCTTTGTTCATCATATTCAGAACACTGTTCGCATTCAGACTTAAGTAGAGCTGGCATTAAAATTCAGCTAATTTGTTTCATGTGATTCATCAGCTGTGTGTTTTATTTAAATCTATGTCACATTCTCTTTTGGCTTTTTATTTTGTAGATTTAAGTCTTGAAGTAGGGCACTTTTTAACTCTTCAGTCCCTGACTTAAAAAGTGACTTAATTTTCATTTTGTCAGTGTTGAACTCTTGTCTAGGATACTCCCAGTAAATATATATAACTAAAGCATGCATTAGTGGGTTGGTTTTTTTACATTTCTGATGTTTGAATAAAAACGTATACATTTACAGTTTAGTTTTATGTGAGGCAAAACAGAAGAACCTAAGGTAGTGGCTAAATATTAGTGTACAATACACACTTCTCAGATTCTCTTGAGTATACAAGTTTACTTTGATACTGCCGATGTTCTTACTATTTTTTTTCTTTTGACCATTCACTCCTTGAGGACCACTTTTAGCTCCTGTTAGATTTCTTTAAACACTATTGGAGCATGAACTGTTTCTGTTCTTTGAAACTGTAACCTACTTCTGGGTGTCAAGTTTCTCTTCTTACAGAAACACCACCTTTTATTCTCTTAAGGCTGGAGCCTGTGAAGCCACACATGCATTGAACTTCCCTAGAGTGGATAATCCCACTGCCATCCGGACAATGTCTCATAATGATTTACAGGATCAGAACCTTTGTTAGAATAGGCTACACTTGCTTTTGTGCTTTGTATTTCTTACATTTTCCTATACTGTAGAAGTAACATCTCACTGTGAATAAAGGTATTCATAGATACTGCTTATGACAGCATAGTATGGCAGTATCCTCCATCTGTTAGGTACATGGTCCATTCAGATGTTTTCTGGTGAAATATATAGGAATTTGTTAATTATACTTTTAGTATAGGGCAAGACTGTCCTAAAAGATGAGATTGAAAGATAAACACACAGTTAAAATACATTTTTTTTTATGTAAAAGAGTTGCACTTACTTCAAGCATGTAGCATTGATCCTCAATTCTTCCATTTCTGTTAACATTAAATGCTAAATATTCTGTGTAAATCTGATGCTGTTGTCTCTGGAATAATCCCATGGTACATAAAATTCTGCATTTTGTGGAGGATGTAAAAATAAAGATAAAAGAAAATCATTGCTTTTAAAAAGCTAACGAGTTGTGAAATAAGGTAAGATCATTCACCTAATGGTAGACTTAGTTCATTAGCTGTATTAAAACCACAATTCAATTACAATCAAATTTTTTTTTTTAAAGTGTTTTGTTCTTTTCTCTTTGTAGGCAAATGAGTGTGTATTTATTAATGTAAGAGATTCTTGGTTGCACTTCGATGGATTACTGGGGGCTCCTTCTTCTCTTTCCATCCATGCATCAGTGCACTCCTTTCCCCCGCACAGCACTGGCAGTTGCCTTAGCTGCTTTAATTGTACAGGAATCTGATAAAACTCTTAGACTTCCTTTGTGCTATGCTAACTTCTTTTTAGCAAATTAGAGAGGCTCACAGAGCAGTAAACATGTCTATGCTAAATCACCCCCTTTCATGAAGCTGCGATCATAATATGTCTTTGGGAAAAGCCATTGACTAGTGAGGTGCATCACTCATTTTATATTTATATGAAGTTTTTTTTGTTTGGTTTTTTTTTTTTTGCTCATAACTTTTTTCTATTTTTACTTTAAATACAGTGTGGTTACTTTACTGGTGTCCATACAGAATGCTGTCACAGTCACTTTATAGTCATTACTGTAACTCGCGTCAGCCATTCTCAGTGCATTCTTTCCGTTTCCATTTTTCTTATACTGGGTGTGAGAAACGTTTTTCCATTTTAGTAATCTTTAATTTAGATTATCATTTCTTATTTGGTATCAGATGAGATACCAGTCATGATACTATGAGATGAGATGCCAATTAAGATAGGTCCATCTGACCCATCATGTCAGCCTTTATCACTTGTTTGCATTTGGTAGGAGCTTTTCATAAACTTCCCCAAGGCTAACATTTAATCCTTCTCCTTGTTCCTTCCTAAAACTCTCCTTTACACTAGTGCTTACAAAAAAACCCCACCATTGCTTGATAATCGTCATAACGCTTCAACAGTCCTTTGTATTGATCATGTTTCATTGTTTTGTTGTTCTTCTCTGTTTGTGGCTTCTTGTCTTAGAAGGTGAATTACTTGAAAGCAGGCAGTTGTTTTTCCACTTTTTACCATGAAATCATGCACGGTTGGGTTTTGATCCATGTCTAAGATGCCTAAGTGTTCCTGTTAGAAGAAATGGTAGTTTTAAAATGATATTTTTAACCATGGAACTTCTGGTTGGGGTATGAGAATTTGAATGGATATTTGAGGTTAATGTTGGCAAATGTTAACTTCCCCTTACTTTGGAGTAAGGGGATCTTACTGATCTATAAGTTACTCATCTATAAATTTCTGATCTGATTTTAGTCTTCTCTACAGCTTCTTTTCTATTTCTCTGAAACATGCAATTAGATCATATTACTTAGCAGTTTGAGATTTTTTGCATATTAGAAAATGTTAAATTGTTCTTTCTGCAGACAGTGGAGCTCTTTATGGGTTCTCTTCATTTTCTGGAGAACAGGGAGAATGGATGCAAGTGTACTAGTATTTCACCCTAGAATATCACTATGCAAATGGAAGTCATACTCTAATAAATATGGTTTATGATTTATCTAATTTTTTCCCCCTAGAATTTCAAAGAATATTCCTACAACTAAAGATGTTGAACCTCTACTTGAAATTGATGGAGATATACGGAACTTTGAAGTATTTTTATCTTCGCGAACACCTGTTCTTGTTGCACGTGACGTAAGAACTTTTTTGCCATGTACTGTAAACTTAGATCCCAAGCTACGAGAAATCATTGCAGGTGAGCATGCTTTCAAATAAATAGAAAATGACAATTGTATTGTTTCTCTTCATTTTAGGTAGAACTGCTTTACATGTTACTCAGAATCCTGATTTGTTGATCTCATCAGACCTTCAGATTGTCTGATTTGACTTCAATAACAGACCATTCAGTTTCACGTAGTAGCTTTGCTCTAAAGGCCAGATCATACTAGACTGAAATAGGATCCTTATAAGTCTTTAATATGACAGTCAGTATTCTTGGTGGGAACTGAATTCAGATATTAATAGTTCTCTTTACCTGTCTTTTCTGTCATGACACTTTTCTTCAGTCCTCAACTGGAATCCTTTTTGTTCTCAGTTTTTTCCAACTTCCTTCTCTGCCCTTGATAGATGCAGTAGGATGGCCTAACTTTGTTCACAAGCTCTGTCTTGTTAATCTCTTCAGAAACAGTACAGGCCTGACTATCACATCAGATGTACTTACCATCAGAGACATACTTGGCATGATGTATTCCTGTATTTCTTCCCATTTGGAAACGGGAGAGAGAATGTTTAGAAGCATTTAATATGATACATAAGTTTATGCAATAAATTGTCCTGACTCTCCGAAAGACTCCTGTGTAGATGTGATCCTCAAGAGAAATCAGTTGAATGCAGCTGGAATTGACATGTGACGTTCTACTTGATGAGTTCTGATTGGAGTTAAATACACAAAAATGTACTGTAATGAATTGGCAAACAAATCAAAACTTTTTCAGGTACTTCAAGCAAAATCTCATTCTTTTTTACCTTTTTTTTATCAGATGTTCGTGCTGCAAGAGATCAGATGAATATTGGAGGACTTCCTTATCCCACATTGCCTTTACATGAGGCACCTGCTAGAGCAACATCTCTCTTCAGTCAGCCTTCATCAGCTTGTTCTTCTACAACCTCTTTCAATGGACCTTTCAATAGTGGAGTTTTATCACCGCAACCTCATAGCAGTTACTACAGTGGTATGACAGGACCTCAGCATCCATTTTACAATCGGGTAAATAATCAAGAACCAATTAACATTCTTCTGATTGAATCTGGTAATATTGCAGATGTCATCTGTAAAATGTTAAAGGACCCATGCAAGTTTTATTTAGGAATGGAGAAAAGTCCAAAAGTTGATAAATTTCACAGTCATGTTCAGTCATTGTAGTCTCGGGGAGAAATGTGGTAAATTGCATCAGAAAAACAAATTACACAAGGGGGAAGAAAGGTAAAATCATTTTGAGACATGACTCAATTGTAGGATATTGCAGGGTTTTTTTATTTTTGTGGGGTAAACTGTGCTCAGTCGTTTACATACTTTCTCACAGACATTGGAAGGGATCTGGCTTTTTCTTGGTGACTTGTTAAAACATATTCAAGAAACTCAGGTGGGCAGCTACATCACAAGAATGTATGTCTGTCTGCCCTTTTGTCTCTTTAAAGTTATTCTGGGATCTTTTCCCTAAACCAGTGTTGCACTAGTTTAAAGGAATTAACATAAATTGCATAAAATATACATTTTTGAGCTATTTGTGGGCCTCCAGAAAACATAGTCCTGGACATGGCTCACTTGAAAGTTGAATGAAGTACTTTACTGTATAGTCTGATCAAGTCTAAACTTTCTATTTTTGTGGGATGTATTCAGTATTTTTTAACTTTATTTTCACAAGTTATAGCTTACTTCTATATACAGGAAATGACCTCAACTTTAAGTAGATTTGGCCATAGGTAAATATTCAAGCTAATAATCTGGAGAGAAAATGGAGTTATTTCTAAATCAGTGTTTGTTAACCAAGGCAGAAAAAAGTACACGTAGCACAGAACTTTTAAAGTTACCTGTTCTAAAATTATTCTTACATACCCTCAGTACAGTGACAATATACTGTTTTGGTGAAAATAACTTCAAATGAGATATACTTTGAAGTAGTCCAGCACTGATAAATGCTTGTCACATGAATCTTCATGCTGATACTAGCTCAGCTTTGTTAAAGTAGGAAGCCCTGTTTTTGTGTCTGTGTTACTGTACATGACAAGGTTTAAAGTATGGGGTCATATACAGTTGAAACTTGTGTGGTTTTTTGGCTCTGATAAGTATTACAGAAGCAATTATTTGTGAGTTGTAAGCTATTCTTACAATCAGTTTATTTGTTCATTTGTATTAAGTGCATACACAGGCTCGCGGGCATGCTTTCATTTTTGTTTGCTGAAGACTAAGATACTTCTGTTTTGGCCTTTCTCTCTGGAATTTTATACTGCCCTTCTAAGGTATAATTGGGTTTAGCGTTTCACACTTTCAAATATTGACAAAGAGCTATATTCATTACTTTGAAGTCATAAAGTTCATGTCTTGAACAGCACATACTGATATAAGTGATGAGATCCTTATAGTAGTAGAAAGTTTAGACTGAAAGGCTGTTTCCTTCAGCATTTTTAATCATATTTCACTTCTCAGGTTTTTGTAAGAATGGTGTTTAAAAAACAGAACAGCAGCTGAAGAATAGGCTCTCCTCGGTAGAAGTTTCTGAGAGAGGTCTTGGATACCTGTATGATGCAACACAATAGGTTCAAATGCTTCTCTGGAAATACCTGAATTTTATGCAAAAACGCCCGAAGTTCTGGGGATAAATGCCTTATTCTGACCAGTAAATGGTTCCTGTCCTGTTGTCTTTAAGCATTCATTTGTGCTTAAGAAAAAAAAACCTTTGGCAAGTTGTTTATTTTTAGGAAATACAATTTTTTAAATTATATGTGTTTCTGCTGTGTTCTTTAGATGCTCCTATGTTATGGACCTTGCACTTCCAGTGACACAATCTATGCATTTTTGGTTTAAAACCTCATTCTCCCTCTCTATAGCTGTAAAGGAAAGATTATAGTCCCATTTAGCAGCTCTTCAACTTGGCGCTTTGGCTCTCAGTATAGGGCTATGCTGGACGTGTACATTTTACCACTGTCTAATGGCCTGGCGACAAGTTTGATTCAAGTTCAGCTTCTCAGAATTGCCACTATCGTGGATCATTGTGGAGATCATGTTTCTTACGGGGAAGATCAGAGCAGTAGGCAAGTCTAAATGGGATTTCCTGGGTGGGAACTAGAAATTACGATATGTGAAGACTTTTTTTGCAAAACAGGAGCAAGTTCTTTGATGTTTTGGAAACAAAATAAACACCACACGCTTTATAGGCTATCTGCAGACTTGGAGAACAGCTCTACACTGGTTTATGCCCAACGTGTTTATATTGATGTTGTGTTTTCACGATATCTGTATTATTGTACTTCAAATGAAGATTGAGTCTGTAGCGTTCAAGCCTATAATGGAGAAATAATCCCACAGCTGGGAAGCAGTGGAGTAGCTGAAGTGGACTCAAGGAATAATTAGAAATTATGAAAGAATTGAGGGATAATTGCCTTATTGGACAAATTTTTGTCATTGCTTTGTAGTTTGATGACTCGCAACCAACAGGCAGGTGCTCACTATATGTTTCAGAGGATAGTCTTTGCAGTAAGAGCAAGGCACTTGAATGCAGTATGATCATTAAGCATTTCACGCTTGGGGGTTTTCCACATGGTTTAAGCTGTTAGTGGAAAACTGAGGCATTAAATTATTCTAGAAATAACATGAACTTTTTTTGATGAGAGTTTAATTTCCAGAAAATACCATAGAATCTGTGCCTTATGACAGTGAAATAATTTTAAGTCAGTGAGTTTTCTGAGTCATCCTATACTAACCAATAAATATAAGGTAAAGGCTAGGTATTGGTTCTCCTACCTATTTAAAACAAAACAAACCAGACTTCCCCATTTAGACTAATGATTAGAGTGCATATCATGTAACTTCAGATGTTGAAGGAGTATATGAAATTTTTGTGGTAATTGTGTGAAAGAATGTGCAGAGACTACCTCTAGCAGCTAGGAATATGGAACCATTTGTATTTTCCATATAGCGCTCAAAATTGTAGGATATGCTATCTAAGTAATTGATGTTCACAGGAATTAAACTTGAATTTCTCAGTTCATTTACAGCTGCTTCTGAATGCTGAGGTTTTTTTAGTTCTTATTGACAAATCCAAAGTGGAATATTTCAACAAATTTTACTCCTCCCTCGTAGAGGGGCCCTTGAGTCATAAAATTATTTACTCTATACTGAATTTGATGTAGTATACTAATCAGGATCTTGTCATGTGCAGAAACACAAACCAAATAATATTATCTGTTTTGTTAAATAGCTGGATAATACAATTTAAAAAATGCTATGTATAGAAACATCAGAAATCTGTAATATAGCCATTGTTTTGAGATTTGTAGGCATTTTTTTAAGAATTGTGAAAAGAGTTGAAAGCAATGAGCGCTATAATTCTGCTTTTTGTAAAGATTCTTGTTTTCCAGTATGTTGCCTTAAAAGATAATTGATAAGGAAATGAAAATCTTTATTACAAAACCTAACTCAAATTCACAGATAAGTCAAAACAAAATTTCACAATATTGGAAAAGCAATTTGTACTTCTTAACTGCATTACCACTTGCAAGGTTAGTGACTCTCAAGTGCATGCTCCTGTGTGCGCACACACACAGATGTTTCATTGCATGCCAGTGGGTAGCACGTGAATTTCAGGAAACACGTTTATATACTTGATTTTAGCACGTGAAAGATTGGACTATATGGAGTCATCTGTTCAAATGCAAGTGTATTTGTAATTTTGAGATCTCTGTATCTTCTAAAAGTGACTTTATTAGCCTAAGTTCTCATTTGGACCATTTACACTGATGTGCTGATAAGACTTTTGGAAACTTGGATAGTGTTTGTTTTCTTGAAATTTGTTTGTAAAAAGGGATAAAAAAGAACCTGGTTATAAAAATCATTATTAGAGTGAACTAATATTTGTGGGGGAAAAATGTATTTCTGTTTTAAAAAAAGTTTTTGGTATTTGTTCTATAATAATTAACATTGTCCTCTAAAATAGTATTTGTATTGAACAACATGCATTAACATATTTCCAATGAAACAAAGTTCAAATACTGTCTGCTGTAAAAATCTATTTGTAGATTTATAAAATCTAGTATTTGTGGAAGCCTTCAGATTGGTTACCACAAATATGGGAAGTTCTAGTGATGCTATTATGTATCACACATTGGGGTTTTGGTACAGTTGTCTTGGGCATTGTGAGTCATTCAGAGTTTTACTGAGCATCTGATTTTGAGTTTAGCAGGTCAAAGAGAGTGAAATTTTCAGATTTATCCTTAAATTATCCTTTTTCCCATATTCAAAACAGATGTTAGAGTGTAGCTACCAAAACCACTGCAACTATGTTCCTCCAGAAAACCATGCCAGAGCACCTATTGGCTCGGAGGAGAGTAGGAGGGGATCAGTTGCTGAGGAATTTTGAAGAACTCACTCCAGAGCCTTTGATTGAATTCTGTTCAATGCAAAAAGTAAAGCAAGCTATTAGTAATTGCTATTTTCACTTTATTAAACTCAACTAGAGGATGTGTTTTGTTGAAATAGTTTTTATTTTATTATTACATTTTGATTTGTGTAATTGTTTGTCCCTTTTTTGTTACATTTTTTTTTTCCATAGCCATTCTTTGCCCCATATCTTTACATGCCAAGGTATTACCCTGGCAGTTCTCATCTCATCTCACGTCCACCACTAAAAACGGGTTTGTCCAGAGATCAGAACAATGGCCTAGTAAGTATTTTGAAGGATAATTCAAATACTAACCTAGACAGTAAATATAGTGGGTAATGAAAATGAAGGTTATTAATGATGATTCACTATTAGACAAGTACAACCTCTATATTATAAATATTTTAAGCACAAGTGTTACTAACATGTAATGTAAAATGTATTTTGTTTTAACTTTAGAAATTCCTTACAGAGGAGAACCAAATCTAACATCCAAGTATTAAGATTAAAGGAGTATGACCTGTAATACTGGCAGGAAAATATTTTAATGAAAATCCCAACTGTATTACAGTAAAGAAATTGATATAGTGTAATATTGTAAGAAAAAGACTGGTACTTGTAAATTTATGTTCAATTTTTTTTAATAATACAAATTGTGACACATCTGGAGAAGATAAAATGATATCCTTTAATGTTGTAAAGAATACTGGAAATTGGAAGGCCAAAGTAAAAAGTTAAAAGGAATATTTTAAATATTTAAGTAAAACAAAATACATTTTATCTTAAGTATGCATCATTTGTAGCTTGGTTTTGCAAGTACATATAATTGAACTTTATTTACCATTGAGAAGGAGAAATGAGCAGACTTTCCTAGCTTCCTATAGAATAATAAAATTCCTGTTTAACAGTATTTATTCTACTGACAGATGGCTGTTCAAATGGAATTAAGAACTAAAAAACTAAAAGCCTCACTTATCAATCACTTGAATTCTAGGATATTGATACAATGAACAAAGCTATTAAAAGGTAGTAAAATCTTTAATCACTTAAAACAAATGTGTTTCTGTTGAATTATGTATTATTACGAGATCATTCTCATTCACTGTTTACTTCATATTTTTTGTTGAGCCCTTGATCATTTTACCCAAACCATAATATTTTGTTGTTGTTAGGATGTTATCAAGGAAGATGCTGATGAGGGGCTTCCTTCACCCACAGACCCCTCAATGGTAAACGAGTAGTCATGTGGTGTGGAAATTTTAGCATCTCATTGCTTTTTGAGCAGTAGTGAGTCTGCATTAATCGTAACTGCAGTTCACTAACACAGCATCAGTGGCTTTGGTGGGCAAATAGAATAGTTGAAAACTAATGTAGTTCGTGAATGAATTTAAGAGCTAATACTTCCTTATAAGATGTGTTTTATTTTTCCCTGTAGTTTTCTCCATACGTTTCTCCGTAGCTATGGTGAGCTTTCAGTAAAGAGAGTGTTGTGGTAGCTAAACAGAGTGAAGAATGACAGCTGGTCATTCAGTGCTTAGATTTTAGAATGAAGTAACTGTGTTTTTTCCTCTTTCTCTCACCTGATTCCTACTAGTTTAGTTGGTGACATAAAGCTATTGCAGTTAACACAGTATAAAGCCACTTTTCATAAAAATTAAAAAAAAAAAAATGTTGTCAGTCATAAGCTTATTTTTGAGTCAGAATGCTAACATCTACCTTTTCAATGACTTATTTTTGTTTTATTCTAAGTATTCACACAAAGATACCGTCTTTATGGGTATCTGTTTTAATGCTAATTGTGGGAATTGATGGAAAATCATTATTTATTACCAAAACAAAGAGGTTAATATGATTGTCCTCATTCTCTTAATATTTGCCGCCGATAGTTGTTGGCAACAGTTAGGGTTTGATCTCTGCTATTTTTTCTTCTACTAAATCATTGCAAAAATGTCTTTTCATTGTTGTGCAATGAAAAAAAAACCCACAGAAGTTCCAGAACTGTATTTAACTGCACATAACTTTCACTGAGCACCGATGTATGGGTGATGCAATGGAAAATGTACCCTGAAGTTCTCTCTCCCAGGTCATTAGCTACCTTGTGTGAAGGGATGACTTTGGAGTAAGTTTTTCTTGTAGTGTATTTTTGGAGATGCTGATGCCTTCCCTGTGTTTGATTCCTTATCTCACTATCCCATTCTCTTCCTGGTCCTTTGCAGCTTGTCAGTGCAAGGAGAAAAAGGACTTTTGAGAAGGTAGTAGAGTGATGGCTGAAGTATGCGTGTATCCGTGAGTGTGAGAAGGAACACAGGCCTGGAAAAGTGGGATTTAGTCTCAGGGTAAAGTAGTGAATGAGCTCCAGCAGCAGACCTGGCCCTGGTGGTTGTTCTGCTTGCTGCTCTGAGTGTGTATCTTAAGCACACATAGGCTGCAGTTTCAAATGGCAATTTAAAAGACTCATGTAAGTTATATAGTCTGTTGGCTGTAGGTAAGCAAATACAGGAGTTAGAACATTCAAAAGAAACTTTGGAATAATAATGGAGGGTTTTATTAGGTCTATTTTTGAGTTAAATTTATACTCCTGTGAATCTGTGTAGTACAGCAGATCAGATGTTACACTTTTCTAAGGCTTAGCAATATTTAACCTACAGTGTAAGTCTGAAATTTTGAATTTTTGAAAATCTTTTGGGTAGTTGACAAGAATGTTGTGAGTCAGGGTGTGGTATTTTGTGTGCCTGACAGGACATCTTATCAGGGTTTCATCTATTCTAAAAACACTGCTTTTGTAGACTTTACTGAAATTTCTGTGAAAGGAAACAATATTATACTTATTTTAGGTACTGCAGTTATCCATAGGTGATGGGCACAATAATTTCATTCAGCTATTTATGTAGCTCTTAATTGATGGGTCATTGCTACTATATAAATGATACAGCTTTTACTTATTAATAAGATTGGTGCATGCAAAGTAATGAAATAAACTAGAAAAGTGTACAGAGTAGTTGATAATCACCAAGATGTGTAATTGGTTTGTGACTGAAAACAAGAGGAGCACGTAGAAGCAATATTGTCTTTCATGCAAATCTGTCAAGGAACCAGAAATGTTGCAATTGTACTTGTGTGTAAAATTAGAGAGTAATCATTATTTTGAATGTTGAAGTCTTACAAGGCGAAAACCCAGTTTCATCAGGAGCATCAATTTTTTTTAATGCAGATCATCATTGCTACTCATTGCATGAGTTGACAGAGCTGTGTTGAGGACATTACGTGATCTAGTTAAAGCCCTGCAGTTGTTGTCGGTCTGACATGGGAGTTGGCCGAGTTCTGAAATTTCAGATCCTAATCATGTCTTGTAAAATCAGTGGAAGTCTAGGTTAGCTTAGTGGAAATCAGAAGTATTTTGAGAGCAGTCATTGTGTATCAAGAATTTGACTACTGCTACCTTCTATATTTGGATTCTGTTGCTGATGATAAACTTGTCTATCTCAGACTGTAGTTTACTATTCTTTACTGAATGGATAAAACCAGATGTCAAACTGGTAAGTTTACCAATACCATCTATGTAGCTGTATCAACATGAAAGGTGCATTCCAAATTTTAGCGTATTGGCTTAAAGGACTAATGAAATAGACTTGACTTAAGATGTCAGCCTTGTCACGTCTGTGATGGAGGCAAACATGCATTTCTGCTGACTTTACTATACAAATGGTTCTTTCTGACAGGAGCTGCAAAAACTTCTAGAGTGCTCTGCTGAAGAGTTTAGCATTGGATTGTAGTGTTACCAGTATCTGTTCATAGTATCCTCTATTATGTTAGAAATCAAACTAGGGTTAGCAGTGGTTATCTGTTATAAACTTACTTGTGTGCTTTAATTTGCATTGTGAATTATGACTTGTTCGGATGCAGCTTGTTGCAACATAATTACTTTGTTTAAATACATTTTTCATACTGCATTGAATATGTAATACCTTAAGATGTAGTATGTGTGCTTTGAATGAGAACTAACATGGCCCAGAGCATGTAGTGTACGTAAACATACAAAACTCTTTAAGAAACTGGAAGTGCTTTTCAAAAGTTTGAGCATGGATGAAAACATGTGGCATGGGAATTTTCTTATATGGATTTTCCAGGTGCTTTTATGTAGCATTTTTGTGCCTTGAATATTTGTTCTTAAAAGAAATACTTTTTCAGTTCTGGAGGGGGAGTGGTTTGCTTTTTTAGGGGGTGGGGGGTGCTTAGATAGAAGTTTTCAAAGTTGTTTGAGATACATTGGTGGTATAATGTGATCTTGCAATGGCAGGACAATGTTTAGTTAAAAGCAGGATTTTCCATCAGAAACATAACGTAAAACTTCTATGCAAACAAAGTACAGCAAGTGTCACTTTTAGAACAGTGAAAAACAGAGTAGTTTGCTCATAGGAAAATAGTATTTGTATACCATATACTAAATATATATTCTGAAGGTCTATCTTAGAAGTTTTGTCACATTATGAAAATATCCCGTTTCTGTCCAACACTAATTTCCTCTGTTTACTCCAAAGCATGTCATCTGTATGTTCAACCTTTCTGATGTTGCTTTAAGCTGTTGTTTCTTTTCATTCTGTTTTGTCCTTTTCTCAAAGCCGTGTAAGTCTGGGTTAAACAAAAACAGACAGGTACAGCCACTTTCTGTGAATTGTCATTTCAGAAACTATCATACTGGCGCTTCATGCTGGGCTGTCTGTAAACTAATGCTCATTACTAGCCTTGAGGTTTGTTTTGACAAGCTGCTTTTAGCTTTTGCATGGCAAATACTTCTCAGGCTAATGTTCTCTAAGCATCTCTAACAAAACCACTAAGGCTGAAAAATATGTCAGTTTAAGTACAGTTTTAATTCACTTACATGATGACAATAACCCTAAAGCTATTAGAATGCTTATTCTTCAGAGAGTGCTTTTTATAAAGAATGATTTGGATTAATGTGCATCTATTTCAAACAGTTCACCCTTTAACAAAAATAGTCTAAATATTTTAGCGCTTCCCTGTATTTTTTTATGCACGGAAAGCAAAGTTTCTAAACTAACTCTTAATGCATGCAGAAAGAATGACTTGTTCTTGATTGTTAAAGAAATATTTTGATCTGAAGGAGAACTGTTAAATTAGAAGTGTTTAAAACTTTTCTTCATTTATTGTAGAATATTTAATAGATTCAGAGAAGAAAGGCAACTGTTTACACATGTTAGTTAAGGATCATTTATTTTAGTAGTGCCACAGTGTAATTTTGGCTCTAACAGTTTCTTTTGTTTTAATTGATAAGCTTTCTTTCAAAAAACAATTAAGATTTGAATTAACTTAATACCTTTATTGATGTGTTATCTAACTCATACCAATAGGACATAGTGTGTTTGTGGGGAAATAATAGACAAAACTGGTATGCTAAAGAAAAACTTAGAATGATTTTTAAAGAGGAAAAATAGAGATGTACATAAAAGAAGAATATGATAAATAGTTTATGGATGAAGCTTCTTCGTGTCATCTTCATTGGTCTGATGGTTGACTTATATCCTTAACATGATAAAGATTTTAGCTGTGCTAAAAATAAGACTAGATTAAGACCTAAATTTCCTCCTTTAGATGCCTAATATGATAACTAATTAGGTATTGTAGGCACCTCGTAAGGGAGACATTGCAGAATTGGAAAAGTAACTGACTCTCATGTCCTCAGAAGGAATACCAAACCCCTAAGTTAGGTGCCTAGACTGTAGTGGAATTCTAATGCTTAATTTTTATGCAGTAATTTAGGTAGGCCACCTACCCAGAAATATCTTTTGTTTGTTTAGCACCCAGTTGACATCACATTAAAGAAAAAAAAAAAAAAATGGTCAAAGAAACAAAGATTAGTTCCCCAACTCTGTTCTCAGGCAAGCGTGCAAACTGCTAGGCTTAGATTCCCCACAGCCTCTTGCAGTGTTCTGGAGTGAATTTGATAGTTTGCCAATTTTAAGTCCATTTCAAGCACATCTGGCAGAGAACTTCAGGGGAATAGCATCTAAACTTTGAAACTCACGGTACCTTAGGTGGAGAGCGTGCCTACCTCCCCAGATCAGGACATCTCCAATAACAGTAAGTTAGAAATAACTCTGAGGTTAAACAGTAGTAGATAATGGGGTTTTGGATTGCTACCTTGGAATTAATAGTTCAATAAGTTCTTCTTAAATATCCTGGTTTAGATAATTCAGATATGGTTAACGCCATTCTATGTGATAATCGTTGGTTTTCATAAGGAATGTATTTGGATCTATTAATTTATGTTAAATAACTTTGAAGTAATTAAATAAAAATGGGGAAAAAATATTGCGACTATAAAAACAGTCTTCATTGGTGATTTGAGGAATGCAGTCAAACTTGATTAACTGAACTCTGGATAGTCAAAATGCACTTTTATGTCCCAGAGTTTATGCATGTGATGATGAGCTCTGAAGCTTTAGTAGCTCTTTTGCATCCTCCCAAAATGAGCTTCCTTTGGTGCATGGTCTGCAGTGCTGAAACCAAAACTTCACGTTCAGAAAAAGGGGAGGGCACAACCTCCTTCCCAGGAGGAGGGCATACAGGTATTTCGTAGCTGATGGAACCAGTTGTGACTTTGCTTTTAGGAATTTGAAGTCACTAGCGTAACTTTGCACTTTGCTCCTACTTAGTGCATAGGCCCCCATCCAGGGAGAATGTGGTTTTTTTTGAGAACGTACTGTCTTAATATACCAACTACCTGCAGATGCATTTGTTTTGTTTTTCCACACTTTCTTTGAAATTCCCAGAAGCTGGCAACATTAACAGGGCAACTTCTGTGTTACAGATCTGAGTTGTGAATAATTTCTACCTAAATCATGCCAAAGTTTGAGATATATGAAGCATCCTCATAGTATCTGGGAGGGCAGTGGCAGTGCTGCTCTGTGTTTCTGTACTGTGGTACACAGCCCCTTGGCTGATCTTGCATAAATGGAGCTGAAGGAACCTCTGGAAAATGGACAGATGTTGCTAAAGTTACCCAATGAATCCAAGTAATTGAGGAGCTATATTTTAGGTCAGCTTTGTCTGATAGTAAACCAGGAGTTTTTAAGACAGGAAAATCTAAGTTGTGTCTGCATTATTTATCATAGAATCATTATGGTTGGAAGAGACCTCAAAGATCATCAAGTCCAACTGTAAACAAAAACAAAAAAAACCCAAAAACCAACCAAACCAAACAAACCCCAAACCAAACTAACAACTAAAATCAGGGGGAAACTCTGAGTAAAGGTACATTTGAAATTGGTTAACCCTTACTTAATATTTCTGATTTTTATGTAGCTTTTCTTAAATAACATTATTTAAGAGAGTTACTTTCTCACATAGGCAGGACTCAAGATGCTGGTTTTTTTCTCGTATAAATACCTGTAACAAATGTTTCCCGATATATAGATACTCTGATAATAATTAAAAATGCCTGTGCATTGTTATTGTCATCTCTTAATTTTAAAATGTACTTGAACACAGCTTGATTTGTGTTAGTGTATATTGTGAAATTCTGAGTGTACTGAGTATTTAAACAAATCTTATGTGCCCATTTTCTCACTTTTTACAGGGAGCAGGAGGAGGCACAGGATCAACCGCAGGAGTACCACATGTGTCTCTGAGCACAATGAGTGTGGATGCTGTGTGTGAGAAGCTCAAGCAGATAGATGGTCTGGACCAGAGCATGCTACCTCAGTACTCTGCAACTATAAGAAAGGTATCAGCTGAATTTCATTAATGTATTTAGTACCTAAACATGGAGATACACAAGGAAAAGGAAATATTTAGTTACCTGTCTTCTTGAAAATGTTCATTGAAACACATCAAATGTCAAAACAACAACCTAACTTCTGTGCCTGCTAAGTTTGGAGGACGTTTTAATACAAGTGTGTATTTTTCAGAGAAAATGCTCTCTCTCAAAAAGGAAAAAGAGACTCAGAAATGTAAATGCTGATGAGACTGGTTATTTTGAGAAAAGAAGCAAGAGAAACATTTTCAAAATTGTCATGTGTAGATGAATAGGGTTGCAAATGTGTTCTGTATCCAGATAGCAACATCCCTTTTTTTCCCCTGTGAGAAACTGGCACATCTCTTCTGTTGTAAATGAGTGGTGGAGATGGTTCCATTTCTGTCTTACTACATTCCACATCTATTTGCTTCAGAAAAAGGCCACTGTACATTTTTCTGTTACTACTCTTTTCTCTGAAACATTAGCACAGAATCATTTTTGTCTTTGTTACTTTTTTCCCACCATTCTGTGTGCTCCTTTTACAAAGAAAGAAGGGAAAAATATGAAGGTTGTCATTAGTGAATGTTTTGCTGAGCTCACTTTGTCCCTGTACCTATCGTATCTTAAAAAAATACAGGGAGGATGTTGATTCAAGGATTAAGAGGCAGGTTTATCATAGGAAGCTTCAGTGGTGTAGCTTAAAGCAAGAAGTAGGATGTCAGATTGCAGCTTATTAAGTGTTGCTGCAAAAAATTCCAGTTGCTTCAGTGGCTCTGGAGTGCTAAAAGAATGTGCTCATCATTTATCTCTAATAATATTCCTTATTTATATACTTGCATTGCTTACTACAAGTGATACCGTGTAAAAAGGAAGAGTGAAAATGGCTCAGCCTGGTCTTTTTCCTGGTTTGATTAAGACCATCTGCTGGGATCTGGGAACAAAACCACTGAGATCCCTCAGACGGAGCAGAGCTCTCAACTTGGGTCTTCCCTTTTGTGGCTACTCTCCTAAGATTTGGTGGTTCTTTTACGTTCTGTGCATCCACTGATACATGGTATAAAGAGAAATCATAGAATCATTTGGGCTGGAAGGGACCTTTAGAGGCCATCTAGTCCAACCCCCCTGCGGTGAGCAGGGACATCTCCAACTACATAAGGTTGCTCAGAGCCCCATCCAGCCTGACCTTGAATGCCTCCAGGGATGGGGCTTCCACCACCTCTCTGGGCAGCCTGTTCCAGTGCTTCACCACCCTCACTGTAAAAAATTTTTTCCTTATGTCAAGTCTAAATCTACCCTCTTTTAGTTTAAAACCATTACCCCTTGTTCTGTCACAGCAGACCCTGCTAAAAAGTCTGTCCCCGTCTCTCATTGGGGGACAGATACCTCTCATTGTTATGTAATGAAAATGATTCTGGGTTGAATTTGGTGTTGTTGGAAGTTAAGCACTATATAAACATGCCTAACATAAGGAATCGCCTTTCTGGAATATAGATGGTGTTTAGGCACTTCTGTGTTGGTCTCTGAATGATGATGAAAGTTAGAAAGAAGTCTAGTCTTCTATACGCACGTGTTTCTGATGGTGGGAGGAATGTAAGCCTGTATTTATGCAGGGAGGGAACTTGATGGAGGTAGTACTTGATCTTAGATGCCACAAGCCAGAGATCTGATGATGCCTGGGACTTAATTTTCTGGTTATCTTCAGGTACTTGAGTGTCTGCGGTCTGTTTGTGTTCCAAGTCTAAGAAATCTAGGCAGATGAATGTGGTTTATTGTCTGGGAAATTTTCTACCTCTGATGTGTTGTTTCCTTGTGTCTGTTTGTAGAACACAATCATGTTGCCTTTCACCTACACATTTTTGATGAGTTTAATATTTTCATTTTTTTCATGACACATAGGTCCATCAGCAATCATCAATAAATATTCTTGTATAAAAATACATTATATTTTTTATATATATTATATAGGATTGAACTTAGGAGTGATGTTGGGGAATTTCAGTGGTAGTCCCCACCAATATATCCAATTATACATGCAATTTTAATTACCTTTTTAATCTGTTACTGCCATGCCATAAGTCTTGTATTGGCAATTTACATTATTTAGTTTTATTGTTTTAGGCAAATATAAATGGCCGTGTCTTGGCTCAGTGCAACATTGATGAACTAAAAAAAGAAATGAGTATGAATTTTGGTGACTGGCACCTGTTCAGGAGCATGGTAAGACTTTCTCTTCAGTCTTCAGGTCATCATAAATTAGTGTTTTTCATTATGAACTTTTATCTTTTTTTCTTTCCTGTTGCTTTCTTGTTATCATCATCTTTAAGATGATAAGTATTGTCATACATATATTGCATGCATTTATTATTTTGTACTTTGTCTTTTTGTCTTGAGCACTTAAATGAAGAAATAGTTGCCTATGGATTTGCATCTTAATTGATTGTGAACTCTGAAGTGTTGCCTCCTCTTTTTGTAAGATCTGTTTTTCCTGTATGGGTTCCCTTTTCCCTTTTAATATTTGCCTATTTTAATGAAATTGTCAGAACTTCATTCTCTTTGAAGCCTCTGTCCTTCCCTTAAAAGTTAGTCAGGGAGTTCAAAGTATATTAGTGCGAGAAAGTGGACAGCCAGGCTGTTAGAGATGTGTGTCACACAATTGCATAAACATAATTTTTAAAGAAACTTAAGCTAAACATCAAGCCAATGACATAAACATGCAGTATTCAATTGACACATACTTGTCTAATTGCCGCATTGCATACTGTTATTGAAGGATATATGTAGGTATCTAATTTCCCGCATTTCCCTCCTCCTGGTTTGAGAGTAAATGACAGTTTTACAGTGAGGGTTATGCATCAGAGAGCACCGTTTTCCCTTAAGTATTTTTAGTATGTTGCCAGTTTTCTTTCTGAAAATAACAGTATGTCTCTCAACTGTTAAATCAGTTTTGAAAACACTGAGAATTACGAGATGAGATTTATTGTTAGATTCAGGTTGATTAAGCTATAAAACAGAAGTGTTTGGTTTTGCTTTTAAATTTGTAATGTATCACTTATCTAGTTTTACAAGAATTTAAGTGTTTTGTGGCATGTGAGTTCTTTTAAGGATCTGAGCAGTAATAAGAATAATTTGTAAATGTGCTTTGCGGTACAGACAATGAATGCACTAGATTGGTGAACAGACTTTTCTTCATACTTTTCCATGATCATAACCACATATACAAGTATGCTTCTACAGTTGCAAATTCCTTGTTCCTATTTTTAATAGATTCTTCTTTAACAATTTTGAGAACTTCTATTTATGTAATTACATTTATGCTGTCTCTTTTTGTGTATTAAGATACTTGAAATGAGAAATTCAGAAAATCAGGCTGTTCAGGAAGATCCTCGTGGAGCAACTGAGCATGTTACCACTGTGATTCCTCATAGTGAACTTACTCGTCGTCCTGGGCATAACACTGAGTTGCCTCACACTGAGCTTACAGGTCTTTCTGGTTCCCTACACGCTTAACTTCAGCTTTGAAGAGCTCAACACAATTGGTCTTGATGAAGCTCCTCCACGCCATAGTAACTTAAGTTGGCAGGTATTTAAGAGAGAAATGTATTCTGCTTGCGTACCTGTATTGTAAAGGGTTTTTTCCATGCTTGGATATAGACAGGTCAAGAAATAAGTCTACTGTGACAGTTGGGGTACTTTCAATTCTCAGTCTTGGCAAAGACCAGTTTTGCAGAGATGTAAACTCTAACCACACTCTCTGAGTCAAAGTCTTTAGTCTTTGCCATCTGAAAAGTACTCATCTGTTCCAGTAATCAGTCTTCAAGAGAAAAAAATCAAAGCTATCATGCTTTTCTCATCTAGCTTAGGGTGGTGGCCTGCAAGATTTCTGTTTATTGTAGTATTCAGACTTTGTATATGAAGTATTTTAGCTATGTGCTAGCCAGATGTTACGCTATTGAAAGGATTTACAGATACATTTATTAGGTTTTTCTAAACAGACAACTACAGCACTCCCTGACATCAGAGCCTTGTCCTGGCAATGTATTCATAGACTCTAGACCTGACATCCTTCTCTAACTACGGTTTCTGCTGTAGGTTATGGTCAATTTTCTTCTGTATCTTATGAAATCACCCAAAGTGTGTGATTTTCTTTTGTCCTTCTTAAGAAGTGAGACAAATCAGTTGGTATCTAAATAGTGATTAGAATGAAAAAGCAAAACAAACAAAAAAAAACCCCAAACCCAAGCATTTAGCAGCTTTTTAATCTCTGGAAGTCTAAATTAGAAAATCTTGAAGGTGCATCAAAATAGGAAGACACCCCAAATTACTAGCTATAGGTGATATTTTTAATATTCAAAATTGTCACTGAAAAGAGGCTTGGGATATGTATCCCAGAGATAGATTTCTATCCTGGATTAACTCTGTGTGTGTGTGCGCACACTTGTGTGTGTTTGTAGGATCCTGATTACCCTTACTGCCTGTTTCGAGCAACAGAGTATCAATGTATGTTTTTCCAAACCCAAGTGGCAGGACTCACATTTGACATCGTTTTTGTGTCAAAAGCACAGAAGTACAAGAAAATCTTTTTTAAAACACTCTTTAAAATGCAAGTTTAAATAAATAGTGCTTCTCATGCTCATACAGTTATCTGAAGTTGTATCAAAAGAATGAGAAAGGTACTTTGTCCGTAAGAAAACATTCGAATTTGCCTGTTGGAATTTTTAAAGTCAGTACTGATTAAAAAAGAATATTGCTGCTTCTCTGTTGTGATGGGTTGGCCGTGACTGGAGGCCAGGTGCCCACCAAAGCTGCTCTGTCACTGCCCTCCTCAGCTGGAGAGGGGAGAGAAAATATAACAAAAGGCTCGTGAGGCGAGGTAGGGTCAGGGAGAGATCACTCACCAGTTACCATCACGGCCAAAACAGACTCCACGTGGGGAAATTAGTTTAAATTATTACCAATCAAATCAGAGTAGGATAATGAGAAATAAAACCAAATCTTAAAAGCATCTTTCCCCCACCTGTTCCTTCTTCCTGGGCTTA